CTTCAGAGATACAGATAAAAGAGTTTGTACTAGTTTTCTTGGAAAGTACTATGTGTCTTATGTTAGTTTTTAGCCATAATTGATGGGCACAGTGCAAAATGGGTTGTTTGGAGATAACACTGGCTAATCAGACAATATAAAATGATCTAAATTTAATTGGTATTTGTAGGCATGATATGTTCAAGACCAATTCATCAAATATGTTCAAAACCAAATTCATTATTTGAAAGAAAGAGTATTACAAAGGTGACAGGAGCGGATGTTCAGGATTTCACATATAATCATTAGTATTTTGGGGGTTTCTGATAGTCTCACCTGAGGTTGCTCACATTAAAAAGCTGCATACACATGACAAAATATGTTTACTTGGAAATGTTGGATGAATCTGTAGTAAAGAAGATAGTTCACATACCACTTTCCAGCAATGCCATAGTTTGAGGTATTTAGGAACAGGATAGTGATACAGAAGACTAACTCTCAGACAAATAAGGATAGCAAAGGAATTTTTGTTACAATATGATGAGCACATTGGTTTTGCTAACATGACAATGATAGGAAATAAGAATTTATTTTTCAGCTTCATTGCTGACAAATACAGCTTGCTCTGAAGTATGTAACACTTGCAAAGGGTTACAGTATCAACAAATGTGGTTTGGAGTTTTGCTTTACTTCTGTCGGAGTATATTCTAATTATGCAGACACAGTGTTAGAAAAACATGCTGAAGCTTGTACCATAATGTAAATCAGTGTCCTGCTGCTTTCATTCAGAAAGTCTTGTGTTGTCAGCTGGACTACACAGTGTTCTTGCTATATCAGCTGAAGTAACAGTATAGTTCACTAAAAGTGTGAATTAACAAATGCTAATTCATAAAATGTGAGGTTTCTAAAAAATTACATATTGTAGTTTGGGAGTTGAGCTGATCAACTGTTATCATATGCTAGGGTGTACATTGGTCTTCAAAGTAACCTTTCAGTCAAGTGTATTTGAACTTTGGGATGAACTCTTGGTGTTTTTGCAAGATAAGAAACCAGTTTGGTCCCCAGCTTTTAAAATATGTGAGTTAGACTTATTTGTCTGATAGCCTTATTCTTTTTTTCCTTTTTAAGTGATCTTAGCTTTACATGCAAAGAAGGAATGTCAAAGGCTTTCCAGTGGCAGAGAAGATCAGGTGACAAAAATGAAAGTTGGATATTTGAGGAGAAAGTTACCTTAGCTTATTGTAAAGGGTTCTCCGATGTAGTAACAGCTATCAGTAAAGTAGGTGATGATTTTGGTATTGCACTTTTGAAAAGCTTACAAATTTGATAGGACACTTTTATTTTCTATCAAAAGAAAATCCATGGGAAAGAAATTCGTAGACGAGGAATCAATTTTTTAAAACCAGAAGTCACTTTACATTTAATTATAAATTTGCTGGATAAATTATTGGAACTGAATGCCAGTCAATAAAAGATTAAAAATAAATTTTGAAAAGCAAATTTTCTGCATTTTAGATAAAAGTTTTTAAAAATGAATGAGCTTGCTGAAATTGCATTAAACTTACTCCTATTTCTGTCCTTTGAGACTGTTTTCTGAGTGCTATTAAAACAAAACACAGAAATAGTTTAGATATACATATTTCTTGTGAATAGCATTGTCATCAGTCCAACCTAGATTAATTAACAAATGTGGTAACTGGCTTTCAAAACAGCCCCCAGTGAACCCTACCTCCTGATGTTTACACCTTGTATAATCCTCTTACATGTTATACCAAGTTGATATGTATGGACAATAGAATAAGGTCAGTGTGATAGTGTGTCACTTTTGAGGTTGTGTTATGACAGACACTGTAGTTTCTGTCTTGGTTGCTCTGTCAGTTTGTCTCTGGAAGCCAGCTGCCATGTAATGAACTGGCCAACAGAGAGGCCAACAGTGAGGAACTGAGGCCCTTGTTATCACTCATGTGAGTGAGCTTAGAAGCAGATTCTCCAGCCCAGTTAAGCCTTCCAGTGAATGAAGCCTCAACCAGTATCTTGATTAAAAGCTCAGGAGAAGCCTTGAATCATGATCACCCACCTAAGCTGCTTCTACATTTCCTGACCAACAGAAATTTTGATAGGTGGCTCACACCTGTAATTCCAATTCCAGCACTTTGGGAGGCCAAGGTGGGCGGATCACGAGGTCAAGAGATCAAGACCATTCTAGCCAACATGGTGAAACCCCATCTCTACTAAAAATACAAAAATTAGCTGGGTGTGGTGACGCGCATATGTAGTTCCCAGAGGTTGAGGCAGAGAATTGCTTGAACCTGGGAGGCGGAGGTTGCAGTGAGCTGAGATCACACCATTGCACTCCAGCCTGGGTGACAGAGTGAGACTCCATAAAAAAAAAAAAAAAAAAAAAAAAAATGCGTGTAAATTTGGGGGTAATTTTTAATGGAGTAATATTACAGCAAACTGATTTGATACATTAAAAACTTTAAATACTGATGTGCTGTTAGTTCAGAGGATATGAATTGGTATTCAAAGAATTGCTGTTTTACTTAGAACTTTTGATTCAATTAGCATTATGGCATGACAAGATTATCAGTGTGGTAGCAGTTTTCTGTATTAATTGCCTGTATGAATACCTATAGTGGAGAATTTGCCACTTTATGTAATTCTTTTCTTTTTTTTTCTGTTTATAATGTTATCGATCTGAATCTAATAAAACATTTGGACTTGTGTTTTGTATGACCTTTTAAACTTTTATTTTTCCAGCAGTTCATTTTTTTTTACTTTATAAAAGTATTGGTCCATGAAACATTGGTATTTTGAAAAAGCAAAGTGGTTTTTCAACACAGATAGGCTGGGAGATCTAGGCCAGGCACAGATGCTCACACCTGTAATCATAGCACTTTGGGAGGCTGAGGTGAGCGGATTGCTTGAGCCCAAGAGTTTGAGACCAGCCTGGACAACATGGTGGAACCCCCTCTCTGAAAAAAATACAAATAATTCGCCAGGTGTGGTGACCACATGCCTGTAGTCCCAGCTACTCAGAAGGCTGAGATGGGAGGACTGTTGGAGCCCAGGAGGTCGAGGCGGCAGTAAGCCATGATTGTACCACTGCATTCCAGTCTGGGTGGCAAGAGTGAGACCCCATCTCAAATAATAATAATAATAATAATAATCTGGGAGATCTATCCTGTCATAGTTCTCATAGTAGTCGTCACTGACCTTATTTTAATGATCATCTTGCCACCATACCTGGAGGCAGAGGTTGCAGTGAGCTGAGATTGTGCCACTGCACTCCAGCCTGGGCAAAAGAGTGAGACTGCATCTCAAAAAAAAGCACGGTGGCTGATGCCTGTAATCCCAGCACTTTGGGAAGCTGAGGTGGGTGGATCACTTGAGGTCAGCAGGTTCGGTCCAGCCTGGTCAACATAGTGAAACCCTGTCTCTGCTAAAAATACAAAAAATCACCAGGCATGGTGGCTCACACCTGTAATCCCAGCATTTGGGAGGTCAAGATGTATAGACGACTTGAGGTAGGAATTTGAGACCAGTCTGGCTAATATGGTGAAACCCGTGTCTACTAAAAATACAAAAATTAGCCGGGTATGGTGGCAGGCACCTGTAATCCCAGCTACTCAATAGGCCGAGGCAATGGAATTGCTTGAACCAGGGAGAGTGGAGGTTGCAGTGAGCCAAAATCACACCACTGTACTCCACACTCTAGCCTGGGTGACAGAGTGAGACTCCATCTCAAAAAAAACCCACAAAACCTCTTTTCTTTGTAAAATGCCCAGCCTCAGGTATTTATAGCAATGCAAGAATGGCCTAATGTATGTAGACAGCTATTTTATAGGGTAATTAAGAGACTTTGCCTACATTGTGCTGTGTTAGCTGATGTTAATTATCAGTGTCCATTTTAATGGGTCTATGGGGTGTGAGAATAAATGAGTGTTCGTTCAGGGACTAATGTGTGCATGCAGATTTTTCCAGTGGAATTAACGGCAATTATATTCTTGACTTGGAGAATTCACACTAGGAGGAGTTTTTTTTTTTTTTTTTTTAAGACGGAGTTTCTTTTTTTTTTTTTTTTTTTGAACAAAAGGATGACATGACTTGATTTACCTCTTTGCAAGATGCTCACATTGAGAAGAAACTTAAAGAGGTCAAAAACAAGCAGGAGGAGAGAAGTCTGGAAAATACTGAAATAATTCTTTTTTTTTATAAATAGTGATTCCATTTCCTCAAACTGATTCTTTTCTCTAAGCATGGAAAGTAAAAGGCTGAATTAAGAGTAATATAACAGTCTTATATTTATGTAATTTTTAAGGTAGCTGCATTGCTTGTCAGTATATATTTAATATATGACAGTTCAGAACTAATATTTTTTCCATTGGGATTTTTTTTTTTTTAGAGGGAAAAAGAGGAAAAGAAGAGGGAAAAAGAAAAAGAGGGAAAAAGGAATATTACTTCATTCCTAAAATGGGTTTCAATAATGGCCGATCAATATTTTGTGTGTTTAAAGTGGTTAATGCATATTTTATGTGTTTAAAATGGAGAGCTCTATTGTGTTTATTTGTTCTGGCTCTGAGTTCAAGTCCTGGATATCGTTATCAATTTTTTGTCTCGTTGAATCTAAATCTCATTATGTGTCTTATGTATCTGGGTGTTAAGATCTCTTAGTATTGCATTAATCCTTTTACTCTTACCTTAAGATTATATTCCCTCTTAACTGAAAGCTCTGTGAAAGGTAGAGTCCATGTGTGTGTTTGCTGTTACATATTCAGTATCCAGAACAGTGTTCATTACTTAGCAGCTACTCAGGAGATCTTGACTAAAAGAATTAATGTTACTTTTACATTATTTCATTGTGTTGGAATAATGATTAACTTCTACAGTTAGAAATAAGTTGCTGTTATAACCATATGTCCTTGGGGAATGTTAATTTTTTTAAGCTGAATAGAAAATATTCTTAGCATTTTTCTTGTTGAATACTAAGGGATTTTTATAAAATACTTGTATTTCCACAGCACAACCAGTGTCTCTGAAGAAGAAGTCTCAAGTAGATATCCTCGAACAGATAGAAGTGGGTTCCCTAGATATAACAGGGATGCAAATATTTCAGGTAATCTGGTTTCGAGTAACACATTGGAAAAGAAAATTGAAGATCTTGAAAAGGTATGGATTATAAGTTTTTTAAGATTGATGAAATTAATATACCATTAGAATTCTTTTTTTTAGTTTCACAGTAACTGAGAAAAATAATATAATATTTAATATGTGCACTTCTATTATGCTAAGTGTTACCTTTAATATATTACAGTCTTTGTTTTTGAAATGGTTAGAAGTCTGAGCTGGCAATATATACTACTGTGTATTTATTATATTGTCTGAACAGATTTTCATTTGTAACTATCAAATTACAGGAGTAAATCGGAGTTAGGTTCATCTTTGCTATTTGAAACAATTTTGTATAACAATATGCTTGTTTAAAAGTGTCTTTCAGTACAATTCAGATGACTGTTGGCATAAATTTATTAAGCATAGGGTCTCAGGTTTGTGCCTTAGACATTCAACCCTTAAAAATGGTAATGGTGTTGAATTCTTTTGTAATTATTGACAATGTGTTTTGTTTTACTGGAGATTATTCTCTATAAAAGATCTAATTTATATGTTATATAAAGAAACTTAATTTTTCAAACTTGTTTCTATTTTATAACATTTATGATTATTTTGAGGTCAGATTTCTAAGCTTTAGCAATAGTTTCTTCTTAGAATTATTATTTCATTTATTTATTTTTGAGACAGAATTTCACTCTCATTGCCCAGGCTGGAGTGAAATGGCGCAATCTCGGCTCACTACAACCTTTATCTCCCAGGTTCAAGCGATTCTTCTGCCCCAGCCCCACAAGTAACTGGGATTACAGGCATGCACCACCAAGCCTGGCTAATTTTCTTCGTATTTTTAGTAGAGACAGGGTTTCACCATGTTGGTCAGGCTGGTCTTGAATTCCTAACCTCAGGTGATCCACCTGCCTCGGCCTCCCAAAGTGCTGGGATTACCGGCATGAGCCACTGTTGCCAGCCTATTATTTCATTAATTTTAAATTAAAAGCTTTAGACAATATGTAATCTAATAGTTTTGAAGGGAGTTACCCAGAAAGATTTCTTGAGTTCCATGAGTTTCGATTGAGTTGCTAATAGTTGGTAGCAGCTAAGGGATATGGATGGTTGGTTGTTCTCTGGGAAGTTTAGTCAGAAAGAAGCCAAGTTCTGGGCAAAGCCTTTTTAGTTCTGCTTCCCTTTTGCCCCCAAGGTGTCTCACCAAGTCTGATGCTCTGGATTCTAAATAAGATTTCTTTGAAAAAGGTGTTGCATTGTTTAAAGGAAAAAAAATTAAAAATCAGTAATCTATTTTAGTTTCTTCTTTTAGTCCATTATTAGTTAACTGGCAGAGCCAGAGGTAAAATTGAGGACCATTGTTTTTCTGTTTAGAGTTTCTGTTGGGCCCTCTCCTTTTCTTAAACTTTGTACTTAAAAAAAAAAAAATTAACTTTGAATTATTTCAAAGAAGATACCTATTAAGAAATTAGTTAGTTCATAACTTAAAGTGGTGATAAGCTAAAGAAGTTAAATCATAGTCTGGGAACAGTGGCTCACGCTTGTAATCCCAACACTTTGGGAGGCCAAGGTGGGCAGATCACTTGAGATCAGCAGTTCAAGACCAGCCTGACCAACATGGCAAAACCCCATCTCTACTAAAATACAAAAATTACCCAGGCATGGTGACACGTACCTATAATCCCAGCTACTCAGGAGGCTGAGGCAGGAGAATGGCTTGAACCCAGGAGGTGGAAGTTGCAGTTAGCCAAGATCACGCCATTGCATTCCAGCCTCAGCGACCAGAGGGAGACACTGTCTCAAAAAAAAAAAAAAAAAAAAAAAAGAGGTTAAATCATTGAGTCTATTACATTGTTATTACATTGTCTATTACATCTAAGTTTTTAACACATAAGTTAAAAACTTATATAAACATAGGTTTACTCAGGAGCATCCTAACAGCTCCTGTATTCCCCTCATTCTCTGATTCCTTTGGTGGTGGGATCTTTGTTCCTTCACCAAATATCTCAAGGAACTCATTGGAAATCTTCATGTGTGTAATACATTTTACCGAACTTGGCAGATATATGCCATTTAGGAAGATTATATATGACCAGTTACTTCTTAATTACTGTTTTGCAATTATATCTACCAGGAAGTAGTAAGAGAAAGACAAGAAAACCTAAGACTTGTGAGACTGATGCAAGATAAAGAGGAAATGATTGGAAAACTGAAAGAAGAAATTGATTTATTAAATAGAGTGAGTATTTTGCCATATTTCATATTTGGAGGATTTTTTTGGCAATTGGATGAAAATATATAAATATGAAGAAATTAGTAATTGCATTGTTTACTTTGTGCTTTTGTTAGTGAAATACTAATTTGTAGTAATAAGAACTATTATTTTCTTCCATAAACTGATTTCCTTTGGGCAGTTATCAGTTTAGTTCACTTAATTTTATTCTTTTGGTGATAGACTGATTTATAGATTTGTTCTATGTTTTGTTAAAGTCTGGAGGTGACAGGCACTTGGTCACCACCATATGTAAGGGCACTGGCACAGAATTGCCTCAGGAAATAACTAAAATTGGCCAGGCACTACAGCTCATACCTATAATCCCAGCACTTTGGGAGGCTGAGGAGGGCAGTTCCTTACTCTGTTGCCCAGGCTGGAATGCAGTGAGTGGTATGATCTCGGCTTACTGCATCCTCCACCCCCTGGGTTCAGGCAGTTCTCCTGCCACAGCCTCCCAATTAGCTGATATTACAGGCATGAGCCACCATGCCCAGCTAAGTTTTGTACTTTTAGTGGAAACGAGGTTTCACCATGTTGGCCAGGCTGATCTTGAACTCCTGGCCTCAAGAGATCCACCTGCCTCGGCCTTCCCAAGTACTGGGATTACAGGCATGAGCCACCATGCCTGGTCTGTTTCTGCAAATATTTTTGATGTCCTTGTTGGCTTTGTACTGTCTTAGGCACTGCAGGCCTTAATAAGAATAATAAAACCCCTGCCCTTATAGAGTTTATAATCTAATAATGGTACATGAATATGTTTTATCATTTAATTCTAAATTTCAGGTAGATTTCAATTGTAGTAATTTTAGAAATCCCATATTTTTTATTGCTTTAACAAATGTTTTCCAACATTATTCGTTTAGTTTGTGAATAAATGCAAATTCTGATCTTATAAATTTTAAAATCATTTACCTAATTATCCAAAGGCAATATACTGAATGTATTAGAATGCTGTTAAAGCAGTGATTCAAATTGATGACATCAAGCTTTGTTATTTTAAACTGCAAGGATAAATCTATAAATGTCTGCTTTTTTTTAACAGTAAAGAGTCTTATCTTGAAATAGTGTTTCTTGTAACTGTAACTTATAGTGAATTGTTTTTAACCAGATGGTAGTGTATTTGGGACAAGGATTAATATAGGGGAAAAAGAGCTGGATCATATGCTTTATAAACTGGAGAGTGAATACTTAATTTAGTGGCTTTGAATTATTTTTAGCTCTAAAACCTTTCCTTTAAAATGTCATAGAAAAAAGTCCAGCATATAAATTGAACCAGATCAACTCAATATTTCTCCAGATACCCTTTTCTGTAGACCTCAGTTTTGTCACCTCCCCAGAGTGTTATCCTCATCACACACCTTTAAAGATCAGACAAAGTGGTAGGAGTGCATCTAGAACTTTTACCTGCATCTATTGATGCCTAATTTGACAGAAGGTTGCAACCTAGGGCTCAATACCACATATGACTTGCCTGTGTAGGTTTTTTTAGCCTCAATTTTAGGGAAGGGAAGTGGAGTTTGTTTAGCTAAAAAACTAACTTATTTATGATGATTGAAAATTGGAAGATTCACATTTTAGAATTCTGATTTTTGGCTTCTTTTGAAAAACTGAAAGATCTTAAGAGTTGGCCTTTAGACTTGTAAGAATAAACATTGAAGTAATGGATGGTCGTTTTAGGTGGGACATATTACATCTAAAGTTGTTTTCAGAGTTTGCCGTCATTTCAAAATTAATTGGTTGTATGAATTATTTTTGAGTATGTAGTGTTTTCATCTCCCTTAGAATATTTTTAAGTATTTTTAAAGTATGATTTTTTTTTCTTTAAGGACCTAGATGACATAGAAGATGAAAATGAACAACTAAAGCAGGAAAATAAAACTCTTTTGAAAGTTGTTGGTCAGCTGACAAGGTAGAAGATTCAAGACCCAATGTTGAAAAAATATTTTAAACTACTGAATGTTATGGTCAATGCTAGAACAATATTCCTATGCTGCAATACATTAAAATAACTAAGCATGTATATTTATTTCTAGAAAACGGTCGTTTATTTTCAAAATACTTCTCTATCATTATTGGGTTCAAAAAAGCATTAACCTTTTATCTCACAAATAAGTAATATCTTTCAGTTATTAAATGATAGATAATGCCTTTTTGGTTTTGTGTGCTATTCAACTAATATATGGTTTAAAGTCACAGGCTTTTGAATATTTTATCTTTGGTAGTACATTTTCTCCCTAAAGGAATATACATAGTCGTTGTTTACATGAGTTCAAATACTTTTGGGATGTTACTTAACAAATGCCTTATTACTGATGTGTGCAACCTTTTATGTGTTGATAACTCACTCATAAAGGTTTTTGTCTACTGTCATTTGTTCTTTCCACATATTCTAAGCAATTTAGAGTAATATAGTCATACTTTTGTATAACAGTAACCTTTTAAAAGCAAAGCTCTTATAAAGTCACTGTCATGTTCTAGTTGACTAAATATAAATTTAAGGGAATACTTGAATTATGCTATAGTAAATCAAAATTTACTATTGTGTTTGAACTTTAACTCCTGAAAAACATACAATTGTAATTTTAATGTAAAATTTTGTATGTAGGTACTACCTTTTTTTATTTTTCCAAGGTTTGCTAGTGAACATAGGATATTTTAAAAGTTACTCTTCAAACCTAGAAAGTGTACAAAGTCCGTGTAAAAGAAAAATCCATGTTTTTATATTAGCATATGCATTAAAATCAAAACCAAAATGTTATTCATACTTAAAACATTTATACAAAACAGTATGTAAGCAGAAATAGTACTAACATACTTTGCCTAATTTCCAAGCTGAAGAATAACACTGTGACACAGTTTTTCCCTGTGAGAGAATATTCTCCTATTCAAATTTAGAGGATTTTCTTCCTAACATTGAAATTTTTAAAACAGAATTACTTCTAAAGAATTATACAAATTTTCTCTTCTATTTAATATTATTATTTAGAATTGTTTTATATTACATTTTCATGTTAAGAACCCCCTCCTCCCTTAAAATACATGATGAACATTATGAAATTTTTGCCTGATGATTGAATTTCAAACAGCAGTATGATACCCTTTTATCTAGTTAGTATATGAAAGTGGCTTGAATATAGTCAGATCCAGTTTGGATACTCTACTGACTTTTTCCTTCACTTGCCAAGCTCTTTTATTATTCACCTTTAGAAAAACAGAGAAGGTGAAACAGCTGGGGGGAAATGTGCAGTAAATGATAAATAGCAGATGTTGAATTCTAAAAGCCTCTACATTTACCTGGACTGGCTCTCGGTCTTCCCCAGTTCAGAAGTTTCGAGCTTGGCTGATCATCAGAATCACCTGAGAAACTTACAAAGAATTCCTTGGCTGTAGTTCCTATATAAGTTTAGGTTGGGACTCTGGACTCCACAATTTTTAAAGGTTATCATCTGAGGTTTCTGATCATAGCCTAGTTTTGAAGCAGCTGCTGTTCTATCTTTATTTCATTGAAAACTGAGTATGTATCTTTATGTCATTGAATTGACATAATTTTATCTACCAACATTTCCCCCCTTTTAGTTTAATAATTAACCTGGTCTCCAGGGTGGTTTTCATATGTCCATGTATATATATGTATTCACTGCTCATGAAAAAGTTTAATGTTAGATTACCTAATTTAATATAGTTGCAGAATTAATGCATAAGGGCTTCCCTTCTTGGAGACTCTTATGCAGCATGGGAACAGTGATCTGCTGCCCACATGACATGGTGGTATGCCAGGCACAGTTACTGCCTTTGGTTGTACTCATCTTTAATTGCCCTTAGTTATGTGGCATACATGTCCTTATTGCCTAGTTCCTCATCCATACTTTGGATCTTGTGAAAATGCTGTCAGTATCCAACCCTAAAATATATTAGTATATGGGTTTTTATTAAAATAATTACTTTGAATTTTCTACTTAATTCATAAAAACATTAAATGAAAACATTTCACTTCACTTTAAAAATGTTATATCAGTTATTAATATTTTTAAAGACAGCTGTTAAAAAATTTTTTCTTTCAGTTTTTGGGGAACATTTCTAGTAGTGATTTTTTTGGGCTTTTTAACATAAATGATAGTGAGTATAAAGACAGGATCCTTACAATTTAGGCAAAGCATTTCACATGCAGTCTTTCTCCCATCTCTTTAAAATATGTATTTATTTTACATACAGATTTTTACACTAACTATTGAAAATGAAATAGGATCTGCTTCAGTTTCCCCTGAAAATTTGTTAAAAGTGTCGAGATTGTTAGAAGGTAGTTTTTAAGTACATATGCACTACCCTAGACAACTTGCCTATTGTCAATAAAGTGATAGTATTTGTGAAGTTATTATTACTATTCAGAAATACTATTTCTTAAATCTCCTGGGAATTTGTGACATAATAAAGCACATCCAAAGTTCTAATGTGTCTATGAGATCATTTTCAAAATAGTAAGTTTGTCATCTTTAAAATGAACATGACTTGCTTCCTCGATTTCTGAAATGCATTAATTGAAAATTGCTATAGAAATCTTTATTTCATCTTTCTAGAGTTGGTAATTTTATTATACAACAGTTACCATTAGATAAGGGGGGAAGGGCTTTTGGGTGTGTATTTCTAGGTACTAAGGGATTTACTAAATATTATAGATTAGCACTGTCACACTTGTTCAAGTAGTTTCAAACATAGAAAATTAAGTATCAGAGGCAGGTATATGGAGCATGTAGTTTTTTTTTTCTTCAATTTTTAAAATTTTAAATTGTGGTAGAAGCAATGTATTCTTAGGGTACAAAACCTACCTCAGTTATATGTGGTTTATGTTTTCTGGATTAATCTGGATTTTATAATTCGAAAGAAAAATGTAATATTTTGAGTCCAATTAATAATTTGGTGAAAATAATACAAGTCAGTTTAATAGAAAACCATTCATATATTCAACACTGTAAGACAAAATAGCAGAGACCTTGAATTTGATAATTGATCTGATATCCTAGACATATTCATATGTACAGTGATAGTTATCTTTCTCTGGGTTTTTTTTTTTTTTTTTTTTTTGAGACAGAGTTTTGTTCTTGTTGCCCAGGCTAGAGTGCAATGGCACGATCTCAGCTCACTGCAACCTCTGCCTCGCAGGTTCAAGCGATTCTCCTGCCTCAGCCTCCCAAGTTGCTGGGATTACACGCATGCGCCACCACACCTGGCTAAGTTTGTATTTTTAGCAGAGATGGGCTTTTACCATGTTGGTCAGGCTGGTCTCAAATCCTGACCTCATGATCCGCCCACCTCTGCCTCCCAAAGTGCTGGGATTGTAGGTGTGAGCCACCTTGCTCAGTCTCTTTGGAGTTTTCTTTGTGCATGTGTATGTAGTTTTATGGTTCTGAGTTGGTGACCAGTAAGTTCCATGTAGTGCTGGCACTTATTTAATAACTATTCATGATTTTGTTACCTTGTTATAGGGTTTGGGCATATATTTTCAGCATAAGAAGCCAAACACACCAGATTGTCACTGGAGGGAAAATACTAAGTGAGAAAAACATTCAGGAATCAGAACTTTAACATGTTAAAGTTAGTGCTAAACATTGTCGTATTGGATCTGAAACTATCCTAATATGTAATCATAAAACTTGACTTTTGCATTGGAACTATGCTTTCATGAATAAGGCATATGCCAGGGGTTTGTAATTGTAATTCCAATTTAATCCCAATTGTAATTGTAATCCCAATTACAGTCCCCAAGATTGTATTTGATATCACTTATCTGAGAAGTAATGTGACACCTTTCTTTTGTTGTTACATTAAGCTGAAAACATAATACTCATAGACAACTAACAGTTTGCTTATCAGGCACATCAACTAAGGCACCTCCCCCATGCTAAGCTCCTGGGTATATGGAAGTTGCTTGTTTCCCAGTTTAAAAACTTGAACTAATATTACCTAAGAAAACCTGAGCCCATATTGTTTTTATTTTACTTAGCTAGAATCTCTTAGCATGTTAAAGTCATATCCTTATCCTCACTAACAATAATTATGTCTATGTAAGAGGAATATTGTATGTAGGAGCTGTATTAAATACTGTTATAGTTATTACAGAATCTTTAAATAAATGGACATGGACCAACCTTCCATCTAGTAGTGTACAATCTATATAGTGCATGTCAGTAGCACAAAATGCAGTCTTATTTAGCCTGCTAATCTGACTAGTTCACTCAAAAGTACTTTTTTCTGTTAATTAGCTATTGTTTTTAGATCTAGTTAATAGGTTCTATTTAATTTACTGCAATGTTTACTGAATGGCGGAGTGAAAGAACTAATGCATATGGGGAAATATGCCATTTTTTAAAAAAAGATAATGTTACATTAGGAAAAGAACACTTTTAAGGAATTTAATACAGTGATGAATGGAGTATATATCAGATACACCAAACTGCTGATGGTATTTAAATGTGACTTCAAGTTAGTATATCTGTATAATATTATTAATTACTGGTTTTAGACATTTAAGTCTGTTCTGATCTACAGTTCACATATAGACAGTTGCTCTGGTAATAATAGAATGTTAGTGATGATCACTTGATGGATGTTGATTAAGTGCCTGTGTTTTGTTTTGTTTCCTCCTCTGGATAACAAATAGGTGTATGCTACTTTTTTGGTGAACTTGTTTCTTGAAAGATTTGGCTATGCTAGTCAGGGTTTTTATTCATATGTTTTTCTTCGTAGCAGGCCACTACTACCATATTAAAGCAAAATTTAACTTTTGTTGAATCAGCTAATTCAGGTAATCCAAATATTTGTGGAAAAACATCTGGATAATTTATTGAACACATTAGTATTGTGTAGACAGTTTTGATCATTCCCATTGCATAGGTGTTAATTGTGGAATAGTCAACTTAATATAGATTCACTTTTAATTTGCATGTGTAAATTAATACTCAATAAAATGTTTTTCATTTATTTTTCAACAGTGGTTATTTTTTTTTTCCTATACTATCAATAAAATCCTGACCATGAGTTGGACTTTTGAAGTTAAAGGATAATGCTAGTAATCTATTTAGCTGTTGCAGAAACCATATGTAGTACTTTTTAAATCTTTATTTGGTATATTAGGTGGACAATGATTTAAAAATCAATACCATCATATTAAGATCTAAATATATTAGTGGTGGGGCTTCTTGCATAAATGAGGAAGTGCACAAAAGTTCAGCCTGACTGAAAATTTTAATTGTGTTTTAAAACTACATGGATTATTTCTTAATTCAACATCAGAACTATTATAAACTAAATCTGATGGTGTCCAAAGAACTTCAGGTCCTTCAAAGTTTGTAAAAGATAAGTAGGGGACTAGGAATATGAAAATTTAGACATTTTACTAAGTAGGTTTACATAATGTGTCATTCTTCATACACAGACACAAGCTAATCAGTTTTCTCTACTGCTAGAACTCTAAATTAATCTACTCAGTAATATCATAGAAGTTTAACAAGTGAATAAGCATCCTTAAGTCAGTCTGTTTAGATAAATGCTTCAAGTCCTTATGTAAGAACATATTCCACTAGCAAGCCCGTAAATTTTTCCAAGATCTCATAATCTTAAATGAAACTGGAACCTTTTATCTTAGACTTCATAAAACCTGATTTTTTTCTTCTAGATCCACTTTGTGTTTCATGCACACATGCGTGCACACAATTCTATTAGCAGCTGTAAACTACCTGCATATTTTCTTAATCTCATTCTTCCAGTTTTTCTTCATCTCTAAAAGATGTTAACATTTCATTCCTGGTCAACTCTTGTAAAGAATTGTGTAATGTTGGACCTTCATATATGAGATAGACTGGTTATAAGATCTTTTACAGTCCATTCATTTTATTCTGATGTCTAACTGGATAAGTTAAAAAGGAAACTAGCAAGCAAAACTTCCCTCTTAATCCTGGACCAAATGCACAATTTTACCCTCACTTTCAAAAATCTGTTGTGACTGAATCAAAATCCTTTTAAAGAAAGGAAAAAGCCTTTTTCTGTTAGATAGCTGAACAACATGGAAACAATATGAGTCAGTTAAGAAAGATAGACTGAATATACTCTACACATGAAAAACGGTAAGTTCTGACTGCTGTATATGTTGTTCATGTTAAAATGTGCTCAATTATTCACTATATATTGTTAATCCACATATGATTAGTTGCCATCCCTGTTTAGAACTTGAAATATGAAACTTGAAATTTGCAATATTTATATTGTTAGAGGCTTCTATCCAAATAAATATCTGCATTCCTTTAAAATGTGAACTATTTGCTGTGATTAACCAAAGATAGATGTCATCAATGAACATTTTAGCTTTATGGAAACAAATTATTAAGAAATGAATAGAAAGGTGTCTGACTTTTTCTTGTAGTGCAAAAGCCTAAAGCTGTCAATGTCAGAGGTCTAAGAAATCCACATTTGAAAAATATGTAAATCACATTTGGTAAGAATACATTGATCTGATAGTATTAAGAAAAGTTGGAAGGCTGGACACGGTAGCCCACACTTGTAATCCCAGCACTTTGGGAGGCCGAGGTGGGCAGATCACAAGGTCAGGAGTCCAAGACCAGCCTGTCCAATATGGTGAAACCCTGTTTCTACTAAAAAATACAAAAATTAGCTGGTCATGGTGCCATGCGCCTGGAGTTCCAGCAACTCGGGAGGCTGAGGTTGCCTTGAACTGAGATGGCACCACTGCATTCCAACCTGGGCAACAGAGTGAGACTCTTTAAAAAAAAAAAAAAAAAAAAAGAATTGAACATATTATGTATGGATAGCTTAGGGCAATAAACAACACTAATTTTAAGTAAAATTATGTCAGTCTGTTTATATTATTTAAATCAGTGAAAATGTTAATGAGATGAATAAATGCGTGCTTTAGAAATGCTGATTAATGATTATAGGAAGTCTAAAAGTGCCTCTTGTTTTGTGTAACCCATTTAAAATCAGTATACCTGCTGGGTGCTGTGGCTCATGCCTGTAATACCAGCACTCTGGGAGGCCACAGCAGGAGGATCACTTGAGCCTACCAATTCAAGATCAAACTGGGTAGCATAGGCTTACCCTGTCTGTACAAAAAAATAAAGAGTGAGCTGGTCAAGATGGCATGCAGCTGTAGTCCCAGCTACTTGGTAGGCTGCCCTCCAGCCTGGGTGACAGAGTGAGACCCTGCCTCAAAAATAAATAAAAATCAAAATAGTTTCAGTGAAGCATAGCGTCTTAGGTAACAACTTGAGCATAACTTTAACCATAACTTATTATACCATAATAGTGTTCATTAGTAATTTAGTAGCCACGTGTGCCAGGTTGTGTTAGGTGATTTATATATTAATTTTTAAAAACTTGTGGAATGTACAAACTTGTAAGGTGACATTGTATCACAAAACTAGTCTTTGACTGCAAAGATTTGTGCTTTTAGGCTGCAATATACTTTTATGACAGTTATTGTCTTATTAAATGTTTTGCTATTGGTTCTTAAAAGTGTGTTTCCGACACCAGTAGCATTGACTTCACTTAGAAACCTGTTAGAAATACAAATTCTTGGCTGGGCACAGTGGTTCACGCCTTTAAACCCAGTACTCTGGGAGGACGAGGCGGGTGTATCCCCTGAGGTCAGGAGTTGGAGACCAGCCTGACCAACGTGGTGAAATCCTGTCTGTACTAAAAATACAAAATTAGCTTGGCGTGGTAGCGCATGCCTGTAACCCCAGCTACTCGGGAGGTTGAGGCAGGAGAACCGCTTGAACCTGGGAGTCAGAGGTTGTGGTGAGCCAAGATCGTGCCACTGCACTCCAGCCCGGACAAGAGCAAACCTCCATCTCAAAAGGGAAAATTAAAAAAAAAAAAGAAATACAAATTATTTGGCCCCACCTGACACTTGAGTCACAAAATGTAGATGGGGCTTATGCTGTTTTAATAAGCCCTTCACGTAATTTTGATGGAGGCTGAAGTTTTTGAACCACTGCAATACGCATTTCTTTTCTTTTCTTTTTTTTTTTCACCGTTTTTTTTTTTTTTTTTTGAGCCAGAGTCTTGCTCTGTTGATAGGCTGGAGTGCAGTGGCGTGATCTTGTCTCACTGCAGCCTCCACCTGCCAGGTTCAAGCGATTCTCCTGCCTCGGCCTACTGAGTAGCTGGGACTACAGGTGCGTGCCACCACCCCCAGCTAATCTTTGTATTTTTATTAGAGACGGGGTTTCACCATGTTGGCCAGGATGGTCTCAGTCTCTTGACCTCTTGATCCTCCCGCCTCAGCCTCCCAAAGAGTTGGGATTACATGCATGAGCCACCATGACTTGCCACATTTCTATTTTAAGCAACTATCTTGGTCTTCTGGACATTGTAGAAATAACATAACATGAACTTGTATTTTTTTTAAAGGCGCCTGATCTTTGTTGCTTACGTTGTAAAAGTTGTATCAGGAAAATTCTCGTCATGGACATTGGTATCCTGACATAACCCCATTAGTTTAGTATCTCTCTGGAACTCAAATGGATTCCCAGGTACAAGAGACTGTGGAATGAAATCTTTGTTTTTCTGTGTTAAGGTTTATCTCTGTTATTACCTGAAGATATTTGGTAGCAATAATACACTTTAGTCAAATTTTAAGACTTGACTGGAACAAATAAATGTATGCTTCATCAGAGGTAGAATTTTGTTTTGTATGTATGGACACTGGGATGGTCCCCGAGGAATCTGAATCTTCAAAATGTACTTTCTGTGAGCTCAGAAAATGAATAGCGCTTTTGAGCTAATTTATCAATGGGGAAAAATCCATATAAAATTGAAAGACACTATTTATTGATTCAGGATCAATATTCTCATATGTTAAATAGTTAAATAAGCTACATCTGTTTACCTCTTACAAACTTTAGAACAGTTTTATGTTTACAAAATTATTGTGAAGATAGTCTAGAGGGTTCTCATATGCCATCACACCAAGTTTCTCCTATTACTAACATTTTACATTAATACTGTGCATTTATCACAGTTAATGGACCAATATTGATGCAGAATTATTTATTAAAGCTCATACTTGATTCACATTTCCTCAGTTTTCTCCCAGTGTCCTTTTTCTTTTCCAGAGTCCAGTCCAGGATACCACATTATATTTAGTAGTTGTGTCTCTATAAACTCCTCTTGGATGTGACAGTTTCTCAGATAATTAAAGCCTGACAACCATCTAATTTGTTAGATGGTATTAAAACCAGAGGGCATTTTTGGAGGGTTTTGGTTTTGTTTTGTTTTGACACAGAGTCTCACTGTGTCGCCGAGGCTGGAGTGCAGTGGCACAGTCTTAGCTCACTACAGCCTCCACCTCCTGAGTTCAAGCAATTCTCCTGTCTTAGCCTCCCGAGTAGCTGAGATTACAGATGCTCACCACCACACCTGGCTAATTTTTGTATTTAAATAGAGACGGGGTTTTACTATGTTGGTCAGGCTAGTCTTGAACTCCTGACCTCAGGTGATCCACCCACCTCAGCCTCCCAAAGTGCTGGGATTACAGGCTTGCACCACTGCACCCAGCCTGTTTATGGAGTGCTTAACTGTAAAGTCTGTAAGGATTTTGAAACATTTTCCAGCTTGTACTTTTTTTGTTTTTTTGAGGAGTTTCCTTCTGTTGCCCAGGCTGGAGTACAGTGGTATGATCTCAGCTCAGTGCAGCCTCCACCTCTCAGGTTCAAGCAATTCTCCTGTCTCAGCCTCCTGAGTAGCTGGGATTGCAGGTGCCTACCACCATGAGCAAGTAACTTTTTTATTTTTAGTAGAGATGGGGTTTCACCATGTTGGCCTGGCTGATCTTGAAGTCCTGACCTCAGGTGATTTGCCTGCCTCAGCCTCCCAAAGTGCTGGAATTACAAACGTGAGCCACCATGCCTGGCCTACAACTTGTACTTTCACTGAAAATTTTTAAGAAGATGACAAGTCTGCTTGTTTCTTT